TAAGCAAATAGATAAATAAATAAATAAATAAAATAAATAAATAAATAAATAAATAAATAAATAAATAAATAAATAAATAACCTCTAAGGAAGAAGGAGTTCCTGTAGGTAATACTAATTGTAAATAAATAATAAAATAAACATAATAAAACAATAAATAAATAAATAAATAAATTAATTAATTAATTAACTAATAAATAAATAAATAAATAAATAAATTAATTAATTAATTAATTAATTAATTAATTAATTAATTAATTAATTACCTCTAAGGAAGAAGGAGTTCCTGTAGGTAATACAAGAGGTCTATGAAGAATACTCTCATACATAACAGCTGGATCCTCATTATAAAAGGGAGTCTTCCTAAGAAAAAAATAAATAAATAAATAAATATATTTATTTATTTATTTATTTATTTATTTATTTATTTATTTATTTATTTATTTATTTATATTATTTATATTAGCTCATGAAGAATACCTAATGTATAACAGCAAAAAAAAAGAGGGAAAAAAAAAAGAGGAAAAAAAAAGGGGAAAAAAAAGGTATTAATAATTAGATAAAAAGAAAGAGAATAAAGAGGAGAATAATAATAATAAATAAAAGGTAATAAAGGGGAGAAAAATAAATATAAATAAGAGAAAATGTGTATAAAAAGTACAAGAAAAACAAGGACATGAAGAAGAATACTGAATATGTGTATATAATAACAAAAAGGGACTAAAAAAGACGAAGAAAAAGGGAAAAAGGGTATTAATAATTAGATAAAAAGAAGGACAATAAAGAGGAGAATAATAATAATAAATAAAAGTAATAAATTAGCTAAAAAAGTACAAGAAAACAAGTTCATGAAGAAGAATAACGAATATATGTATATATAGGGATAGAAAGAGGGCAAAAAGGGGAGAAAAAAGGAGTAAAGGGTATTAATAGATAGATAAAAAGAAATATAATAATTAGGAGAATAATAATAATAAATAAAAAGTAATAAATAAGGTAGAAAAGTACAAGAAAACAAGTTCATGAAGAATAATAACGAATATATGTATATACCGACAAATAGGGACTAAAAGGAAGAAATAAAAGGGAAAAAGGGTATGAATAGATAGATAAAAAGAAAGATAATAATTATAAGAATAATAATAATAAATAAAATATAATAAATAATATAAAAAAGTACCAGAAAACAAGCTCATGAAGAAGAATACCGAATGCCCAAGCATCACTACAGAAATGTTGTCCTCTTCTTAATAATGTCTCTGGAGGCATATATTCACTAGTACCACAAAGTGTACAACTTTTGTCTCCTCCTCCTCCTGTTCCTGTCCCTCCTTCTCCTGTATTAATTATATCTATTCCTTCCTCTATACCTATTCCTTCTTCTTCTCCTATACCTATTCTTCCTCCTATACTTAGTCTTATTCCCTCATTATTTATATTTATTTTTTTTCCTCTTTTTTCTTCTTTTATACACCAATTCTCCATACCTAATTCATACATATATTCTTCTTCTTCTTCTTCTTCTTCTTCTTCTTCTTCTATTAACGGGCTTGGTCCTCCTGCTGCTGCTGCTGCTGCTGTTGCTGTTGTTGCTGCTGCTGTTGCTGCTGATGCTGATGGTGGTTGTGGTGGTACTGCTGCTGTTGCTGCTCCTGCTCTTGCTGATCCTATAGAACCATTTATACCCATCCCCCCAACATGGGCTGCTGCTGCAGGCTCTGCTGCAGGTCTAGCTATAGTAGACACCCCAACATCAAGGGGGCTTGAGAGGGACATATCCCTCATTTGTTCTACAAGAGACAAACAGCAGCAGCAGCAAATAGCAGCAGCAGCAAGCAGCAGCAGCAGCAGCAGCAGAATCAGCAGCATATAGCGACAGCAACAGAGAGACAAACAAATAACAGCAGCAACAGCAACATCAGCAACAGCAGCAGACAGCAGCAGAAGATAAAAAGAGGGGCAGCAGACAGATAATAACAGCAAATAGACAGATATCTCAATACTGACCGCTGCTGCTGCTGCTGCTGTTGCTGCTGTTGCTGCTGCTGCTGCTGCTGCTGCTGCTGCTGCTGTCAACTCACTATCTTTATCTGCAGGGTGTATTAGTGCTGCTCTATGATGAGTTGCATTTGCTGCTGTCTCCGCAGGCCCTGCAGCAAAAAGACATTTGCTGCTGCGCTGCAGCAGGTGTCTCCTTTTCCCCTTTTTTTTTCCTGTCTCCTCTTATTTGCCTCTTTTTTTATTTATTTTTTATTTATTTTTATTTATTTATTTATTTTTTTCTCCTTTTCCTTCTTTTGTGTCTCTTTGTCTTTTCTCTATTTCTGCAAACTATTTCTGTCTCCTTCTGCTGTATGTGTCTCCTTTTTTATATATCTGTCTCCTTATTGCTGTCTCCTAGGGGGCCCCCCTACATGTTGAGACTTCAGGGGCCCCTAGGAGGGTACTGTTGCTCTATGTGTTGTTGATGTTATTACAATGTGATGTGGGCCCCCCTGTCCCCCCCAAGAGCTTCCTAGGGGCCCCTTAGGGGCCCCCAAGGGGCCCCTTGGAGGTCCCTTGGGGGCCCCATGGGGGCCCCACTTACCTGAGCATTTCCTTTTTTCTGTCTCCTCTTTGTCTGTCATAGATTCATCAAGAAGAATTGATACCCAACTCTCTCTCCCTAGGGGGGCCCCCTCCTCTATAGTACTGGATTGCGGTGGGGGCCCCCTACAGCAGTTATCCACAGCAGATAGCCAATGAGGAGGAGGGGGGGCCCCCATTGGTACCCTTGAAGCAGCGGGGGCCCCATTAAGCAAACCCTCAGGAGAATGCATCTCCCATTCTGTTTCTTCCTTATCTACATCACGTAGCCAGAAGCTTGACTCCTGCTGCTGCTGCTGCTGCTGCAGTTGCTGCTGTTGCTGCTGCTGTTGTTGCTGCTGCTGTTCGTGAGACTGGGCCCCGTCAATAATGCCATAATTTCCTAGGGAGAGGCACCGAGGCAAGGGGCCCCCGACTGCCGGCTGCTGCAAGGGGCCCCCTCCTAGTGCCCAAAGGTTATTTGGGGTCCCGATTGACATCTGATGCTGCAGTGGGGTTGAGGGGCCCCCCTGGGGGCCCCTCTCCCATAACTGTTCATTTAAGGGGGACCCAACAAGGAGGGGCCCCCCTTTATAGCAGCTAACACCATTAGTGTGTCTCTGCTGCTGCAGTCCCTCTTGTAGGTGCAGCTCCCTTCTTGTGTCTCCTTCTGAATAGCTATCTTCCCCTATTGGGGCTCCCTCCCCTAGGGGGCCCCCCTCCAAAAGGGTCCTTAGGGGCCCCGCCGATGGGGGTGTCTGCTGAGAGGGGGGCCCCCAGTACCCTTCTAGATTGCATGCATCTAATGGGGTCATGGAGGCAAAAGAACTTGTGTCTTGCCACCCGGATATTGTTGCCTTTGTTGTACAGTCACTAAGGGGCCCCCCATTAAGGAATCGGTTAGTGGGGGGCCCCTGTCCCTGCAGCCGCTTAAGGGATAAGGCGGGAAGTAACACTGATGACACAACAGAAGCACCAGCAGCAGCAGCAGCAGCAGCAGCAGCAGCAGCAGCAGCAGCAGCAGCAATACACGGTATGCACATTAAGGGCTGCTGCAGAAACGGATAATGGTATTTACAGCAGCAATTGCAGCAACGGGTTTCTGCAGCAGCAGCACCAACAGAATCAGCATCATCAACAGCAGCAACAGCAGCAGCAACAGTAGCAACAACAGCAGCAGCAACAGCAGCTAGGCTGCATGCATGCATAGTTTACCCCCTTCATGTCCTGTATCTTCTTCTGTTTCCCCAATTTGTTTTATACTTTTCTCTAAACTTTCTTCTTCTCCTTCTTCTGCTGCATTTGCTGCTGACGCACAAGAAAAAGGGGTAAGGGGGCCCCCCTGTGTTAGGGGCCCCTCTTGTGTAAGAGGGCCCCCATTAGTGAGTCCCCATGCTGGAGTGATTGGCCCCCCATGGTTGAGGAGGACCCCCGCATGCATGAGGGGCCCCCCTGGGGTAGGGGGGCCCCCTCCCTTAAGTATAGATGTTTTAGTGTTGGAAGGAAGTGCATGTATAATTGGGTATTGTGAATTGGGGTGTATAGGGAGGCGAGGAGGAGGAGGAGGAGGAGAATTATTATTATTATTATTATTATTATTATTATTATTAGGGTGTATAGGGAGATAATTATTAGATATATAATTAGAGGATTTAAATAAAGGAAGAGGAAGGAGGGAATTATTTGCTGTTATTAAGGATGATGATGTTATTGTTGTGTGTTTATTATTACGACGATGTTGCATGCATGCAGGATGCATGCACAAGTTCCTCTGCTGCTGTGGAGCAGCAGCACCACCACCACCAACCCCACCACCACTACCACCAACCCCACCACCTGCACCTCCTCCCCCACCGCCGACACCATGAGTAGCACCACCACCACCACCACCGCCACCACCGCCACCAACAGCAGCACCAGCAGCAGCACCACCAGCACCAGCACCAGCACCAGCACCAGCACCAGCAGCAGCACCAGCACCAGGACCACCACCAGCACCAGCACCAGCACCAGCAGCACCAGCAGCACCAGCAGCAGCAGCAGCAGCAGCAGTAGTATTAGTAGTATTAGTAGTATTAGTAGAATATGGTCCTAATAAGAATGGTTTAGGTTGATCAATTTGTTTAGAAAATCCAAAATCAACAATTTTGATATGACCATCATAACCAATCAAAATATTCTCTGGCTTAAGATCACGATATAATACACCAAGACCTGTATATATATATATATATATATATA